ACTCCCAGCTCCTGGCAACCACCAAGCTACTTTCTTTCTCTAGGAGATGCTCCCGATGGGCGTTTCAGATGGCTGGAGTCATACAGTATGTAGCCTTTTGTAGCTGGCTTCCTTCATGGGTTTCTGTATTTTTTTAAAAATCTGTCTGGGCTGGGCATGGTGGCTCACGCCTATAATCCCAGCTCTTTGGGAGGCCAAGGTGGGCAAATTACCTGAGGTCAGGAGTTGGAGATCAGCCTGGCCAACATGGCGAAACCCCATCTGTACTAAAAATACAAAAATTAGCTGGGTGTGGTGGCAGGCGCCTGTAATCCCAGCTACTTGGGAGGCTGAGGCAGGAGAATTGCTTGAACCTGGGAGGCAGAAGTTGCAGTGATCCAAGATCCCACCACTGCACTCCAGCCTGGGTGACAGAGTGAGATTCTGTCTCCAAAAAAAATTAAAAATAAAAATATATCTGATTGTACACCAGAGTTAAGAACCATCCCCACTAACAGAAGTCCTTTCACAGAAACAAGAAAACTCCCAAAGGAATCCCTCTGAACCTCACGTAGGATCAATCCACAGCACAGCCCTCCCCACCCAAGCCGAAAAAGAGGGGAAAGGGTTCTGATTGGCCGAGCTTTGGTCACATGCTCAACCCTTGACCAATCACAGTGTTTAAGGAATAATCACGTGATCACACCCTTGGGCTCTAGCCTAAGGAAAATGGGGGACTTGACTAAGGACTTTAAGTAGAGAAGAACATGATCCAATTCAGAAACTTGCATAGGAAGTTTATTTTCTTTTATTTTTTTCATGTCACTGTTCTGGGCAAGCAAGGCAGCTTAAACTCCTAAGGCAAACCCATTAACCTTAAGGTCTTCATGTTACGTGCCTGACACAAGGATGCTGCAGAAAAAAAGACACTTTACCAATTTATAGGAAATACAGAAAACCGAGGAGCTTGTTAAATGATACCATGGGGATGCAATAGATAAAATTGCAAGGAAAAGAAAAAAGCGCTAGAAAGAGAAATAAATTATTAAAAGATATTAAAGCCACAGCAACTGACCACAATCTATAGACATTATTTAGGTTCTAATTTTTCACAAATTTATTACATTTATGAGATAATTGGAAACCTGAACATAAGATACTTAATGATATTAAGAAATTATTGTTCATTCTTTCAGGTTTGATAATAGTATTTTAGAAATCTTTGTTTTTTGACATAGGGTCTCACTCTATCACCCAGGCTGGAGTGCAGTGACATAGTCTCAGCTTACTGCAACCTCTGCCTCCCGTGCTCAAGCGATTCTCGTGCTTCAGTCTCCCAAGTAGCTGGGACTACAGGTGTGCACCATCATGCCCAGCTAATTTTTTGTAGTTTTAGTAGAGATGGAGTTTCACCATGTTGCCCTGGCTGAGCTTTAACTCCTGACCTCAGGCAATCCACCTGCCTCAGCCTCCCAAAGTGCTAGGATTACAGGTATGAGCCACCCACTTAGCCAAAAATTTTTTTTTTGAGACGGAGTTTCGCTTTTGTTTACCCAGGCGGGAGTACAATGGCGCGATCTCGGCTCACCGCAACCTCCGCCTCCTGGGTTCAGGCAATTCTCCTGCCTCAGCCTCCCAAGTAGCTGGGATTACAGGCACTCGCCACTATGTCCAGCTAATTTTTTTTTTTTTGTATTTTTAGTAAAGACGGGGTTTCACCATGTTGACCAGGATGGTCTTGATCTCTTGACCTCATGATCCACCCACCTCGGCCTCCCAAAGTGCTGGGATTACAGGCATGAGCCACCGCGCCCGGCCCCACCAAAATTTTTATCTTTTAGAAATCTGCACTGAAATATTTATGGATGAAATAATAGGCTATATGAGATTTGCTTCAAAATATTATGTGAAGGGGAGTAGATGAAGCAGGCCTGGCTTAGGTTTGTTGGTTGTTGGGATTGGGAGGATGAGAACCCAAGAACATTATAATAGTCTATCTTTTTTAATGAATGTTCAACACTCTGCATAACAGATCAGCTGCAGTGGCTCAAGCCTGTAATCCCAGCACTTAGGAGGCCAAGGTTGGGGAATGGTTTGAGCTCAGGAGTTCAAGACCAGCCCAGGCAACATGGCAAAACCCCATCTCTACAAAAAAAAAAAAAATTAGCCAGGCATGGTGGCACAGCTGCTCAGGAGGCTGAGGTAGGAGGACTGCTTGAGCTCAGGAGGTTGAGCTGCAGTGAGCTACGTTCACACAACTGTCCTCCAGCTTGGGCAACAGAGTGAGACCCTGTCTCAAAAAAAAATCTGCACAATAAAAAATTTTAAAGTAATGAAAGTGTGTATTTATATTGAAGCTGTCCTGCCTCTATTTTTTTAACAGTGGTTTGAGTCTGTGTATATATAAAAGTACTAAAACTGATGGCAGTGGTGGCCCATCTCAAGCGGACACTGTGAAGACCCAGCTGCAGCAGGGGAGGCATGGCCAGGGCTGTGTGCTGCATAGAGCTGGAGCCAAGAATAGGTTGGAGTCCTGCCCTCCTGGCCACAGATGCAGCTGCCCAGCTGCAGCTGCAGACCCAGGAATCCCGGCCCTCTCAGGAGCCCAGGAAGCCCCCCTGTCCCTGAAGGCTCAGAAGGGCCTGCTCCCACTGCCTGGCTTCTCCCCATTCCCGGTGCCCACTCCAATTTTGGAGTAAAATTGTGGCTGAACCCAGGCACTGTTGCAATCTAGCCGGGATGCACTCAGGGTGGAGCTGACATACGAGCCCCCTGCCACTTCAGCCCCCTCTGGACTTTGGGCACCAATGATGATGGGAGGGAGGCCAAGGGGGTGGTGAGGGCAGCTTGGCATGGATCTTCAATAACCCCTCAACATGAACAGCCTGGGTGTGATGGATGACATGTAGATGGTGGCAAGAGGCAGACGGGCTTCTGGGGGAAAAGAGGTGGGTCCCTAGTGAAGCCACATCTTCAAGCCAGGGAGGGCCTAAATCATGGTAGCTGGGTTGTCAGTTGTGGGTGGAGTCTGCAGCCTGGAGTGAGAATTTATGGTACTTTTTCTAGGCCCACTCATTGCCACCCATGGACCGATCAGCACGTACTTTCTCTCTCCTGAAGTCCATAAAAACCCACAGCTCAGTCAGACTCACAGAGACGTTGGGTGACCTGCTGTGGATAGGAGCTCACCTTTCTGGGTCTCTTCTCCACTGAGGGATGCAGACATCAGGATGACCTGCCTGCAGTTAGGAGCTACTCACTCTGGGGTTCCTCTCTGCTGAGGGATACAGACATCAAGACTACCAGCTGCAGGAGGGGGCTACCCGCTTCAGTCTCCTCAACTCATCAGGATGACCTGCCTGTGGATAGGAGCTAGCCACTCCAAGTCTCCTCTCTGCTGAGGGCTCCTCCCGTTGGGATGACCTGCCTGCAGAAAGGAGCTAGCCACTTTGGGTCTCCTGGGAGCTGTTCTGTCACTCGATGAAGCTCCTCTCCACCTCACTCATCCTCCAGTTGTCTGTGTACCTCATTCTTCCTGGATGCGTGACAAGAACTCGAGACCTGCTGAATGGTGGGACTGAAAGAGCTGTAACACAAACAGGGCTGAAACACAACCCCCTGGCTTGCCACATTGCAGGTAACAAGAAGAAGAGGAGAGCTCTGGCCCTTTGGGGAGCTCAGACCTAGGGGCTCTCCAAGCCAGGGCTGTGACACTCTCTTTGGGGCTCTGTGGTTCCCGGCATCTCCAAGTTTGCAGGTGCCACTGCATTACCCTCATCCAGACACAGGTACCTGTGGCAGAAGCTTCGTTCAGTACATCTGGCTCAGCCACAGATTTTCACGGAACCAGAACCTCTGCTGGCATCCGGAGTTACCCATGCCTCCATAGCAGCCGGAATGCCTGGCTGTGCACAGTGGCCGGACCCCATGCTCACTCACCCACACACCCACCACTCCACGCCTGGTTTGTCCTTGGCATGTATGGGATCTGGGCCAGAAGTGTGAGCTGAGCACAGTCTGCTGAGCCAAGGTGGTGGGACGAGCCCAGTAGGCAGGAGCAATACTCAGGCAGGAGGTGCTGCTGGCCACAGAGGTTTCCCTGCTGGAAAAATGACACCCCAAAGATCGCACTGGATGTTTGATCCATGAAGAGATTCTTGTTGATTCTTTTGTTGTTGCTTTTTTTTTTTTGAGATGGAGTTTCGCTCTTGTTGCCCAGGCTGGAGTGCAGTGGCACAATCTTGGCTCGCTGCAACCTCTGCCTCCCAGATTCAAGAGATTCTCCTGCCTCAGCCTCCCCAGTAGCTGGGATTACAGGCACATACCACCACATCCAGCTCATTTTTTGTGCTTTTTGTGGAGATGGGGTTTCACTATGATGGCCAGGCTGGTCTCCTGACCTCAGGTGATCCACTCGCCTCAGCTTCCCAAAGTGCTGGGATTACAGGTGTGAACCACCGTGCCTGGCCTGTTGATTCTTTCATGCTTGGTGTTTGGTTGGGTTTAGAGTGAAGGAAAGAAGGTATTGAGCATGATGCCGTTTCTGGCATGGGCAAGTGGCTGGTACTATCTCCTGAAGTAGGAAACACTGGGGAGAAGAAGGCAGAAGGGATGGAGTGCCACTGTGCACAGTGACTTTGGGGTACATGTGGGACATCAGGTGGAGCTGTCCAGTTGGGTGAAGTCTGGGATGAGGACGTGTAGATACAGAAAGTCAGAACTGATTGGTATAGAGCAGGTGACTGAGACCACGTGGAAGAGGGAGACGGCCTGGAGAAGGACTAGAAAGAACTCTGGAAAGGAAAGGAAAATCCAGACCCAGAGGATGGTCAACTTTGAAAGAAGAGGCAGAGAAGGAGGAGCGCACATCATAGGCTGGAAGGAAACAGTCAAAATATAGGAGGAAAACTATAAAAGGGTAAATCTCATGAGACTTACAGGAAAAGGTCAACAGCTCCAGAAGCCACTGAACATTCATACACAGGAAGAGAGGAATACTGTCCATTGGATTCCACAGCAAAGACACTGTTTATGACCTCAGTGAAAGAAGTTTCCAGGTGCTGAACACATAAGCCAATGCCCTGGACAGAGGTGTGAATGGGAGGCATACAAAGCTGCTTCTCGGGGCCTGCTCTCCCCTACTTCTCAGGGAGGCCATCCTGTCCACTGTCCTGTGGCCTTAAACAGCCACATCCTGTATCTGAAGTAAGTGACCTATGACTTGTCTCCTCATTTGAAGAAATTACCAATTAGGTTCCACCTCTCTTGGGCATCTATCTGTTGACAGTGGGATCTGGGCTAAAGATACTGAAGTTAACAAGTTGACTGAAGCTGGAGTGGTCATTATGGGATGGTGCAGGATGGGTAAGTAGGGTGGGGGAGAATGGCAGAGATGGTCAGAGAGAAGCAGACACACACACACACACACACACACACACACACACACACACACACACAAGACGAGGGAGGAGAGGGCAGGGTAGAGGAGGAGGAGCCCATCTTGACGAGTTTGCAGCCTCTGTTCCAGGTTTCCGTAGGCCAGCCATCCGTCAGCATCTTGGGTAATAGGTCTGGGGTGGGGTTGAGCATAAGTTCGGAAAGTTGGAATGAATTTGTGTGGAGTAGGTGGCTGAGGCCACGTGGGAGAGGGATACAGCCTGGAGAGGAACTAGAAAGGGCTTTGGAAAAGAAAGGGAAATCCAGATCCAGAGGCTCCACTGCTAGATTTGCACATGATTGTCACTGTGTCCCTACCAGAAGCACTTCCTAGAGCCAGCCAGATAGGTCTCTACTCCAAAGGAACTTGAGCAGATCAGGAAGTGAGGAAGTAGAGGCAGTGAGTGTGGACAACTCCTTTAAGAAGTTGGCCAGACGCGGTGGCTCACACCTGTAATCCCAGTACTTTGGGAGGCCAAGGTGGGCAGATCACAGGGTCAGGAAATCAAGACCATCCTGGCTAACATGGTGAAACCCCGTCTCTATTAAAAATACAAAAAATTAGGCCGGACACGGTGGCTCATGCCTATAATCCCAGCACTTTGGGAGGCCAAGGCGGGTGGATCACAAGGACACGAGATCGAGACCATCCTGGTCAACAGGGTGAAACCCTGTCTCTACTAAAAATTCAAAAATTAGCTGGGCATGGTGGTGCGCGCCTGTAGTCTCAGCTACTCGGGAGGCTGAGGCAGGAGAATTGCTTGAACCCAGAAGGCAGAGGTTGCGGTGAGCCAAGATCGTGCCATTGCACTCCAGTCTGGGTAACAACAGCAAAACTCCATCTCAAAAAAAAAAACAAAAAAACAAAAAATTAGCCAGGCATGGTGGGATGCATCTGTAGTCCCAGCTACTCGGGAGGCTGAGGCAGGAGAATCACTTGAACCTGGGAGGTGGAGGTTGTAGTGAGCTGAGATCATGCCACTGCACTCCAGCCTGGGCCACAGAGTAAGACTGTCTCAAAAAAAAAAAATTTTTTTTTGCAGGGAGGAGAGAGATGGGGCAACAATGGGATAGAGTGATGAGAGCAACTTAAAGATATATTAATGTTGCGGGGGATAAATCAAGAGAGGAGGAAGCTGGACACACAGGGAGCTAGGACCACTGAAAAATCAAGAAGAGGTGGATGGAGGGATCATCTTCGAACCAAGACTGTAAGTCCCGTGTCACTGGCACTGACGCATTTAGCCCTCGGCTTTCCCAGGACAGGTGGGTCTCCTCTCGGAGGCCTCTTCTTTCCTTCCCCCTCTGGAAAGAAAGGAGCCATAGTGACTCCTGCCCTATTTTCATCAACCTTGCCTTTCTCATCAGGCTGCTAGCAGCTTGGGTTGGATGCCTCCCAGACTTGCTAAGTCACATTCGGGGGCATTGGCAGCTGTGTGTGATCACTTGTGATAGGGCTCTTTGAAGCTCTAACAGAGCTTCAAAGGTGGAGCTGATTATATTCTGGCTGTGTCTTCACCTTAAGTGTTAAGGCATAAAACAGCCCCTCATAGCCTGACAGGCATGTTTCTCATTACTTCTTTGCAAACACTCTATGCCACAGTTCCTCCAGACAGCTCACTGTAGAACGTCTCCCTGTTCCTTTTCAATCTGCCCTACTAAAGATCCCTGAGCAATTTGCAGGGAAGGACTGAGTCTTCATCTAATTCCTAGCACAGTGCCGGGTATAAAGCAGGCATTCAATAATAGCAGTGGAATACTATCTTCCCTGAATGCACGTGGTGCTTTTCCACCTGCAGACTTTTGTTGGTGTTACTCCTGCTCCCTAGAAGATCCTCTTCCCGTTTCAGAGTCTTAACTAGATTCCCCTAATCCGAGTCTCTCTCTCTCCCTCCCCTCCAGCACCTGTCACTCTTCATCTTCTTAGCCTGTTGTGCTCTGTCCTGAGTTGCCCGGCATACTGTCCTCAGACTGCTGGTTCACTTGATTCACTGCCCTTACCCCCATACCCCTTTTAGAGCTTTACCCATCTTTATATCCCAGTCTTATACTCACTGTTTCTTTCTTTCTTTCCTTCTTTCTTGCTTTCTTTTTTTGAGACAGTTGAGACAGGGTCTCACTCTATCACCCAGGCTGGAGTGCAATAGCACAATCATGGCTCACTGCTGCAGCCTCCAACTCCTGGCCTCAACTCCTCAGCCTCCCTACTACAGGCATGTGCCAACATGCCCAGCTTTTTTATTTTTTATTTTTAGGGGAGACAAGGTCTCACTATGTTTCCCAGACTGGTGTCCTAGGCTCAAGAAATCCTCCTGTCTTGGCCTCCCAAAGTGCTGGGATTACAGGCATGAGACACAGTGCCCAGCCTACTCTCTGTTACCTAACAGCAATTAGAATAATGTCTGCCATATAGTAGGTCTCAATACACCTGTGGAATCCAGGCAGGACAGGCTCCTCTTCTGTGTCCCGGAGTACTTCTTGCCAAAATACTGAGGGGAGAGATGGGACGGGAATTAAATATTCATTCCTACTGTCTCTCAATTTGGAAACTGCCTCAGACCATAGGACTCTCTAAGTTTAGTGATACCTGGTGGCACCTCGATGGCAGGGCTGAAGGCTGCAGCTCTGCTGGAGACACTCTCCCAGTTGATCAGAAGGTGCTTACCACACTTTTGCCTGCCTTACTAGTCTTTGCCAACCCAAACCCCACTGACTGCCAAGGAGTCCACAATGAACTTGTTACAGAAAAGGGGTCTCCAAAAGAGGCTTCTTGGGTCTGGTACAAGAAAGAATTCAGGGTGAAAGCAAGTTTATTAAGAAAGTAAAGGAATAGAAGAATGGCTATTGCGGCCGGGCGTGGTAGCTCACACCTGTAATCCCAGCACTTTGAGAGGCTGAGGCGGGCTGATCATGAGGTCAGGAGTTCACGACCAGCCTGAGCAACATAGTGAAGCCCCATCTCTGCCAAAAATACAAAAATTAACCTGGCATGATGGTGTATGCCTGTAATCCCAGCTACTCAGGAGACTGAGTTAGGAGAATCGCTTGAACCTGGGAGGCGGAGGTTGCAGTGAGCTGAGATTGCGCCACTGCACTCCAGCCTGGGAAAAAGAGAGAGACTCTGTCCCAAAAAAAGAAAAAAGAAAAAGGCTGGGCGTGGTGGTTCATGCCTGTAGTCCCAGCACTTTGGTAGGCTGAGATGAGCGGATCACCTGAGGTCGGGAGTTCAAGACCAGCCTGACCAAAATGGTGAAACTTCGTCTCTATTAAAAATCCAAAAATAGGCTGGGCGTGGTGGCTCACACCTATAATCCCAGGACTTTGGGAGGCCGAGGAGGGTGGATCAAGAGGTCAAGAGATCAAGACCATCCTGGTCAACAAGGTGAAACCCCGTCTCTACTAAAAATACAAAAATTAGCTGGGCATGGTGGTGCGCGCCTGTAGTCCCAGCTACTCAGGAGGCTGAGGCAGGAGAATTGCTTGAATCCAGAAGGCGGAGGTTGCGGTGAGCCGAGATTGTGCCATTGCACTCCAGTCTGGGTAACAACAGCGAAACTCTGTCTCAAAAAAAAAAAAAAAATCCAAAAATAGTTGGGCGTGGTGGCTAGTACCTGTAGTCCCAGCTACTTAGGAGGCTGAGACAGGAGAACTGCTTGAACCCAGGAGGTGGAGGTTGCAGTGAGCCAAGATTGTGCCACTGCACTCCAGCCTGGGCGACAGGGGGCGAGATTACATCTTAAAAAAAAAAAAAAAAGGGCTACTGCAAAGACAGAGCAGCCCCAAGGGCTGCTGGTTACCCACTTTAATGGTTATTTCTTGATGATAAGCTAAACAAGGGGTGGATTATTCTTGCCTCCCGTTTTGAGACCAAATAGGGTAACTTCCTGATGTTGCCAAGGCATTTGTGAACTGTCACAGTGCTGGTGGGAGTGTAGCAGTGAGGTCACTGTCATTGCCATCTTGATTTTGGTGGGTCTTGGTTGGCTTCTTTACTGCACTGTTTTCTCAGCAAGGTCTTTATGACCTGTATCTTGTGCTGACCTCCTGTCTCTTCCTGTGGCTTAGAATGCCTAACCTTCTGGGAACACAGTAGGTTTCAGCCTCATTTTACCCAGCTCCTATTCAAAGTGGAGGTGCTCTGGTTCATATGCCTCTGACAGACTGGAGGTACAGGTGGATCTCACAGAGCAGCCAGTATAGTCTGGATGGAGGAACAAAGGGAATGACATAGTTTCCTTGTACCATTCATGCTGAAGAGGTCTTATAGAATTAGGCCTCCAGAAAGAGGGGACCCACAAAGTCCCTCCTTTTCTCCCCATTTCTCCATCTGCCCTCAATACCCCTTCCTGCCAAGCCCTTTTTCATGCAAACAGCCCCCTCCAGATACTTCTTTTTGCGGTTTACCCTGTTACTGAACTTGGTTGATTTTTTTTTTGTCTGCTTAGTCCATCATTTCCTGAGAAAGGTGTCCTAACATCTCCCACTATGATTGTGAATTTATTTCTCTTTTTACTTATGTCAACTTTGTTGTGTATTTTAAAGCTATGTTCTTTATTAGGTGCTGCATATCATGTATGAACAAGTATAGATATAATTTGAGGTTCTAGATGATAGTAAGATTTATTTTTGCTTCTAGAAGGCAGTTGGGGTGTGGGCAGACATTCTTTATTCAGTGGTTTTCAACCACAGGTGATTTTCCCCACCAGGGGACATTTGGCGATGTCTGGAGACAGTTTGGTTGTCAGAATTTGGGGAAGGGGAGGTGCTACTGGCACCCAGTGGTTAAAGGCCAGGAATGCTAAACATTGCGTAAGATGGTTCACTGATGTTAATACCAGTGTCAACAGCACTGAGTTTGAGAAACCTTCCTTTAATCCAATTGTCAGAGGCGCTTGAACCAGAGAAACTCCATCTTGAATAGGGAGCGCCTAAAATAAGGCTGATACCTGCTGGGCTGCATTCCCAAAAGGTTAGGGATTCTAAGTCAGGGAACGAGATAGGTCAGCACAAGACACAGGTCACAAAGACCTTGCTGATAAAACAGGTTGCAGTCAAGAAGCTAGCTAAAACCCACCAACACCAAGATAGCAGCAAGAGTGACCATCCTCACTGCTACACTTCCTCTAGCACCATGACAGTTTACAAATGCCATGGCAACGTCTGGAAGTGACCCTATGTGGTCTAAAAAGGGGAGGCATGAATAACCCCTTGTTTAACATACCGTCAGGAAATAACCATAGAAATGGTCACCCAGCCGCCCTCGGGGCTGCTCTGTCTATGGGGTAACGTTCTTTTGTTCCTTTACTTTCCCAGTGAACTTGCTTTCACTTGACTCTGTGGACTCACCCTCAATTATTTCCAAAGGGCCAAGGCCCTGTGGAAGTTGAAAGCTGGTGGCGGCTACTTGAGCTCTTCCTTCTTTAGCATGAGACTGCTGGGAGCTTCTCTGCCTCGTGAAATAGGCAAATGCCTCAAAATTCAAAGGTCTGCTAACCCTTCTCTCCAGGACCTTGACCCTCAAATCCTCACCGCCTTGGTGGCTCACCTTCAAACACGTTTGTTTTGCCAGATTTTCTAGCTGTTCTGGATAGGAGGGCTGATCGACCAGTCTGCCTTCAGGGGAAACAGCAAGAGATTGCCTCTCAGTCTTTTCTGGAAGCTTTTAAATGCAGCCTGTAGGCCTATTGTGATGCTGATGGAGTCTCTGCTCAGCCCTGATTTTGCCCATTCTGCGTGGAGGGGGCAGCTCTAGTCTCCCAAGCCGGAAAGAGGATGGGCACTCCCATTTTCCGATCATCCTGCCACCAGGAAGATCTATGGGATGAGAGAGGGAGTGGATTTCTCCCTAGTTATCTAAGAAACAAGAAATGTCTCAGCCTTCGTTTTTCCTTTCTCATACAAGGTGAAGTACTGCAGGCTCATACAGGGAAGCACGTTTTTCCTGCTAACATGATTTTGATCCTGCTCCTTAGGAAAGACTAAGCCTGGCATTAAATAAAGCGCTGGGAGCATTTACCTTCCCCTGCCCCAAAGTCTGGCTTACAGTGCTGGAAAACCAACCGAGCGGTGACTGGGCTGGATTACAAACGGATGCGGTCAGCGCCCGTTATTAGGAGAGAATTCTAATCAGATTGTGGATTCGAGTACTTCTGACTCAGAAATCTCCCCGACTGTAGAAAACGGGGCTATCCCGCTTATAGTGTGAATGGAGGCATGGCTGCGTTCTCATCCGCTGAGATAAACGCCGCCCAGACCAGCACAGACATCCTGTGCTCGCTGTTTTTACTTGGTTTTCAAATGAGGCCTTTGTGTATCACTGGTATTGTAAGGAATACGAAATCATGAAAGAAGTGATTCTTTGGGTGAGTCATTCTATTATAAAATGGAGCCCACAGTCAGGAACCGCTCCCTGAGAGAACAGGACAGGATTTCTCTGAGCGGGGATGAAAGCAGAAGGCGCAGTCATGACGCGCCCCCTACTGGTCAGTGCGGAGAAATCCCCCACCTCAGGTTTCCATGAGTGCGGATGTCCTTGACTGAGAACCTCAGACCTCAGGCCGGACCTGGTGGCTCACACATGTAGCCCCAGCACTTTGGAAAGCCGAGGCGGGTAGATCACTTGAGGCCAGGAGTTTGAGACCAGCTGGCCTAAAAGGTGAAACCCCGTCTCTAGTAAAATAACACAAATTAGCTGGGCCTGGTGGTGAACACCTGTAATCCCAGCTACTCAGGAGGCTGAGGCAGGAGAATTGCTTGAACCTGGGAGGTGGAGATGGCTGTGAGCGGAGATTGCGCCATTGCACTCCGAACTGATCCGGTGCAGTGGCTCACGCCTGTAATCAATCCCAGCACCTTGGGAGGCTGAGGTGGGCAGCTCACTTGAGGTCAGGAGTTCGAGACCAGCCTGGGCAACATGGCGAAACTCCTCTCTCTACCAAATAATACAAAAATTAGCCGGGCGACGTGGTGCCCAGCTACTTGGGAGTCTCAGGCAGGGGAATTGCTTGAACCAGGGAGGCTGACGGAGGTTGCAGTGAGCCTAAATCATGCCACTACACGCCAGCCTGGGTGACAGAGAGACCTTGTCTAAAAAAAAAAAAAAAAAATTAGAATCACAGAACTGAAGCAGAATTCCATGAATCCAATGGAATTTCATTAAATTCCATGAGTTGGAATTCAATTCCATCAATGAAATTTCATGACTCCATTGGGATTCATAGAACTGCTAACACACAGTGAGATACTGAGGAGGCTGATATGAGAGCCCCTGTCTCAGGACTCCAGGGCCTAATTTAACAGCCAGAATCTGCCAAGGTCAGAGTGGCCTTAACTTGTACTGCACTCATAAATCAATCTCCCTGGAGATTTCAAACCTTCATATTGCTTTGCTAAATAAAGCTTAGCTCCTTTCAACCTAAGGAAGTCGATTGAAAAAAAAAGGTGGGGGGGGGGGCAGGGGGACGGGCGCGGTGGCTCATGCCTATAATTCTAGCACTTTGGCGGCCAAGGCAGGTGGATCACAAGGTCAGGAGTTCAAGACCAGCCTGGCCAAGATGGCAAAACCCCGTCTCCACTAAAAATACAAAAAATTAGCTGGGCATGGTGGTGGGCGCCTATAATCCCAGCTACTTGGGAGGCTGAGGCAGAGAACTGCTTGAACCCAGGAGGCAGAGGTTGCAATGAGTCGAGATAGCATCACTGTACTCCAGCCTGGGCAACAGAGTGAGACTCTGTCTCAAAGCAAAGAAACAAAAAACAGCCTTAGCTCTAAAGAAAGATTTTGAGTTTCTGGCTGGGCGCAGTGGCTCACGCCCATAATCCTAGCACTCTGGGAGGCCGAGGCAGGTGGATCACAAGGTCAGGAGTTCAAGACAAGCCTGGCCAAGACGGTGAAAACCTGGCCAAGCTGGTGAAACCCTGTCTCTACTAAAAATACACAAATGAGCCCGGTATGGTGTCCGGTGGCTGTAATCCCAGCTACTTGGGAGGCTGAGGCAGAGAACTGTTTGAACCCAGGAAGCAGAGGTTACAGTGAGCTGAGATTGCGCCACTGCACTCCAGCCTAGGCAACAGAGCAAGACTCTGTCTCAAAAAAAAAAAAAAAAGAGATTTTGAGTTTTACATTCCCATGGATGGCGAAAGCAAACACAAAAACCACACATTTGTGCAAAATCAACCGTTTACATTTTATACTAATCAATAACATTTTATACTATCAATAAGCTATTCTTGAGCCGAATGCTTGTTTGTACCCACATGCCTTCTGTCTCTCTTTCATTCTAACCTGAAATTTTATCCTTAAATCTCCTTGTGCAATGATTATAAAATGTAATTTTATTTTTAAACTATATATTTTCTTTTGTTCATTTCTTCCTTCTTTTTTTTTTGAGACAGTCTCACTTTGTTGCCCAGGCTGGAGTGCAGTGGCGTGATCTGAGCTCACTGCAACCTCCGCTTCCTGGGTTAAGACTATTCTCTTGCCTCGGTCCCCTCGATTACAGGCATGTGCCATGATGCCCGGCTAATTTATTTTTATTTTTAGTAGAGACAGGGTTTTGCCATGTTGACCAGGTTGGTCTGGAACTCCTGACCTGTCTTGGCTTACAGGTGTGAGCTGCCATGCCCAGTCTCTTTTGTTAATTTCTTTAATTTTTAAATTTCTATTGACATATTATAGTTGTGCTTATCGTGAGAGTACTTATGATATTCTGATATATGTACACAATGTGTGGGATCAAATCAGGGTAACCGAGATATCCATTGCCTCTGTGTATCTTCCGATATCTTGATCATTAGGGTGAAATACAAGGAAAAAATAAAATAAAATGGAGAAGTTACCATGTTTTTAGTGTTTTTAAATCTTAAGGGTTTGAAATGTATATATTTGAGATAATGAGCCTTTTTGTCTTTTTTTGTCTGAAAGAAATTTGTGACCCAATAATTAGTCAAAATTATCTCCAAAAAATGTTAATGAAACGGGGAACCTTTTGGGAGACATTTTTAAATTGTGTCAGCTGCTTCTATGCCAGAGAGTGGACAGAACTGGTTGAGAACAGTCACATTCAGAGTCTTCGTGTGCACTCTTTCAGTTATGAAAATGTAGGGCAAGTAAGCACTCATTTCCCTGAGTGGAAAGTGACATAAACACTTTTTTTTTGAGACGGAGTCTCTCTCTGTTGCCCAGCCGGTTCTTACAGTTGCTCTTCAGACCCAAGCAGTCAAGATGGTGAAGCAGATTGAGAGTAAGGTTGCTTTTCAGGAAGCCTTGGAGGCTGCAAGTGAGAAACTTGTAGTAGTCAACTTCTCAGCCACGTGGTGTGGGCCTTGCAAACAGATCAAGCCTTCCTCTCATTCCCTCTCTGAAAAGAATTCCCACATGGTATTCTTTGAAGTACACGTGGATGACTGTCAGGATCTGGCCTCAGAATGTGAAGCCAAATGCATGCCAACCTTCCAGTTTTGTTTTTTTTTTGAGACGGAATTTTCGCTCTTGTTACCCAGGCTGGAGTGCAATGGCACAATCTCGGCTCACCGCCACCTCCGCCTCCTGGGTTCAGGCAATTCTCCTGCCTCAGCCTCCTGAGTAGCTGGGATTACAGGCACGCGCCACCGTGCCCAGCTAATTTTTTGTATTTTTAGTAGAGACGGGGTTTCACTATGTTGACCAGGATGGTCTCGATCTCTTGACCTCATGATCCACCTGCCTCAGCCTCCCAAAGTGATGGGATTACAGGCATGAGCCACCGCGCCCGGTCCACCTTCCAGTTTTTTAAGAAGGTACAAAAGGTGGGTGAATTTTCTGGAGCTAATAAGGAAAAGCTTGAAGCCAGCATTAATGAATTAGTCTCATCATGTTTTTTGAAAACATAACCAGCTATTGGCTATTTAAAACTTATAATTTTTGGTCGGGCGTGGTGGCTCACGCCTATAATCCCAGCACTTTGGGAGGCCGAGGCAGGTGGATCACAAGGTCAAGAGATCGAGACCATTCCTGGTCAACGAGGTGAAACCCCATCTCTTCTAAAAATACAAAAAATAGTGGGCATGGTGGTGCACGCCTGTAGTCCCAGCTACTCGGGAGGCTGAGGCAGGAAAATTGCTTGAACCCAGAAGGCGGAGGTTGCGGTGAGCTGAAATTGTGCCATTGCAGTCCAGTCTGGGTAACAACAGCAAAACTCCGTCTCAAAATAAATAAATAAATAAAATAAATAAAACTTATAATTTTTTTATTTACCTAAAGTATGGAGACTATAAACCCAACTGCCATCTGGATGACAATAACATATTAATTCTATCTTTTAAAAAAGATAAAGAGGGTACCAGAAACAAAGACCCAGAGATGATTGGGGTCTGGGAGGAGGGAGCTGGAGAACAGGTGACTGTGAACAGAATGCATCAGTCAAGATTCGCCTGAGAAACAGAATATACATATACAGTGCTTGTGTGGTAGGGATGTGTGTGTGTTTAATATATATATATTTTTTGAGACTGAGTCTCGATGTGTCACCCAGGCTGGAGTGCAAAGGCGTGTTCTTGGCTCTCTGTAACCTCTGCCTCCCTGGTTCAAGCAATTCTCCTGCCTCAGCCTCCTGAGTAGCTGGGATTACAGCCACCAGACCCAACACCCAACTAATTTTTGTATTTTTAGTAGAGATGGGATCTCACCATGTTGGTCAGTCTGGTCTCGAACTCCTGACCTTGTGATCCGCCTGCCTCAGCCTCCCAAAGTGCTGGGATTACAGGCATGAGTCACAGCGCCCAGCCTAATTTTTTATTATAAATAGCAACGTGTTTTGCCATGTTTCCTAGGCTGCTCTTGAACTCCTGGGCTCAAGCAATCCATCCTCCCCGGCCTCCCAAAAGTGCTGGGATTAGAGGCATGAGCCACCTCACACAGCCATGTGTGCATTTTTTTTTTTTAAGGAATTGGCTCACATGATTGTGAGGACAGACAAGTTGGAAAGCTGTAGGGCAGGGCAGAGTAGGGCAGGGAAGGGTAGGGCAGAGCAGGGTAGGGCAGGCAGCAGGCTAGAAACTCAGCTGGGGCGGATGCTGTAGTCTGAAGGCAGAATTTCTTCTCCGGGAGAAGTCAACGGATGGTAGATGTTAACCAAGTCTGCAGAATATGTGCTCAGCAACATCTGGTGTTGGAGCTAAATAGCTGGGTGCTGTGGTCCAGCCAAGGTGCCACCTGAAACACCCTCACACCGTGAGAAGATTGGCAGTTGAGGAAGGAACCCTGGGGACCTTGATGTTGAAGAGAGGGCAGGGGAAGAGGGTGAGTCAGAGCCTCATGGGAAGGAGAGCTGGAGACATTGCATAATACCAGTGACAGTGTGCCACAGGAGTGGTTTCGATAGGGGTGGGGGTAGGAGTGGATGGCAATGGGTGATCAGGGTGTGGGAGGTGAGGGGACTTAGCTGGCTCTTCCACGACATGTGATCAGAAAGTGGGGATGGTGAGCCGGGAGCAGTGGCTCACGCCTGTATCCCAGCACTCTGGAAGGTCAAAGCGGGTGGATCACTTGAGATCAGGAGTTCAAGACCAGCCTGGCCAACGTGGTGAAACCCTGTTTCTACTAAGAATACAAAAATTAGATAAAGAAGTCCCGGCGGGGCCAATACACTCCCCGCGCGCATCCGTGCGCCGCCCGAGGCTGTCTAAGGAGTCCGCGGCCATTTTATTCTTCTCGTGGTTCCAGTGGGGAGAGGAGGAAGCAGGGAGTGAGGCGGTTGGGGCGGGGGGGGGGGGGTACCTGCTGCGGCTCCTGCCACCGCCGCCACCACCGCCTCTGCTCGTGGCGTGGGAAAGGAGGTGTGAGTCCTCTGCGCAAGCCGGCGGCGGCGCCGCTGAGGGTCAGCGGTGGGAGGGCGATGGCGGATGTAGATAAACTCAACATCGACAGCATCATCCAACGGCTGCGGGAAGTGAGAGGGTCCAAGTGGTAAGAATGTCCAGCTTCAGGAGAATGAAATCAGAGGACTGTGCTTGAAGTGTCGTGAGATCTTTCTCAGTCAGCCTATCCTACCAGAACTTGAAGCACCACTCCAAATATGTGGTGACATCCATGGGCAATACTATGATTCGCCGTGACTTTTTGAGTACGGTGGTTTCCCGCCAGAAAGCAACGACCTGTTTCTTGGGGACTCTGTGGACAGGGGAAAGCAGTCGTTGGAGACAATCTGCCTCTTACTGGCCTACGAAATCAAATATCCTGAGAACTTTTTTCTTCTCAGAGGGAACCATGAATGTGCCAGCATCAACAGAATTTATGGATTTTATGATGAATGGAAAAGAAGATACAACATTAAACTATGGAAAACTTTCACAGACCGCTTTAACTGTTTGCCGACAGCAGCCATCGTGGATGAAAAGATATTCTGCTGTCATGGAGGTTTATCGCCAGATCTTCAATCTATGGAGCAGATTCGGCGAATTATGCGACAAACTGATGTACCAGATCAAGGTCTTCCTTATGATCCTTTGTGGTCTGACCCCGATAAAGATGTCTTAGACTGGGGTGAAAATGACAGAGGAGTGTCCTTCACATTTGGTGAAGAAGTGGTTGCAAAATTTCTCCATAAGCATGATGTGGGCCGGGCGCGGTGGCTCAAGCCTGTAATCCCAGCACTTTGGGAGGCTGAGGCGGATGGCTCACGAGGTCAAGAGATCGAGACCATCCTGGTCAACAAGGTGAAACCCCTAAATACAAAAAATTAGCTGGGCATGGTGGCGCGTGCCTGTAATCCCAGCTACTCAGGAGGCTGAGGCAGGAGAATTGCCTGAACCCAGGAGGCGGAGGTTGCGGTGAGCCGAGATCACGCCATTGCACTTCAGCCTGGGTAACAAGAGCAAAACTCCTTCTCAAAAAAAAAAAAAAAAAAAAAAAAAGCATGATGTGGATCTTATATGTAGAGCCCATCAGGTGGTTGAAGATGGATATGAATTTTTTGCAAAGAGGCAGTTGGTCACTCTGTTTTCTGCACCCAATTATTGTGGAGAGTTTGACAATGCAGTGTGAATGAAACACTAATGTGTTCTTTTCAGATTTTAAAGCCTGCAGCGAAAAAGAAGCCAAATGCCACGAGACCTGTAACACCTCCAAGGGGTATGATCACAAAACAAGCAAAGAAACAGATGTCATTTTGACACTGCCTAGTTGGGACTTGTAACATAGAGCATATAACCGTCATTTTTAAGACTGTAATGTGTACTGGTCAGCTTGCTCAGATCTGTGTTTCTGGGGGCCCTTCCTTCCGTTTTTGATTTAGTGAATGGCATTTGCTGGTTATAACAGCAAACGAAAGACTTCACTCCAAAAAGTGGTTTTTTGTGTGTTTGTTTTTAAACAGAGTTTCGCTGTTGTTACCCAGACTGGGGTGCAATGGCACGATCTCGGCTCACTGCAACCTCCACCTCCTGGGTTCAAGCAATTCTCCTACCTCAGCCTCTTGAGTAGCTGGGACTACAGGCGCGTGCCACCATGCCCAGCTAATTTTTTGTATTTTTAGTAGAGACGGGGTTTCACCTCGTTGACCAGGATGGTCTCGATCTCTTGACCTCGTGATCCACCCGCCTCAGTCTCCCAAAGTGCTGGGATTACAGACTTGAGCCACCGCGCCCGGCCTAGTGTTTTGTCTTTTAATTCTCTATTCCTTTTGTAAACAATTTTAATGATGGTGTTAAAGTTATACACCCCAAGACAGTTTATCCTTTCTAAGGGGTAAGTGTACAATTGATAATCATGTAAATGCTCATTTTCTTTAGGACATAAAGAGAGCCCTAGGGTGCTCTGAATCTGTACGTTCTTGTCATAAAATGCATACTTTTGATATGAACCACTGTGAACATTTTTTATTTGAGAATTTTGTTTCAAAGGGACTGCTTTTTCCTCTCGTCTTGTTATGTACAAACTAGTTTTTATAGCTATCAACATTAGGAGTGACTGTCAACCTTGCCAGCATCACTGGTATGATGTATATTTAATTAAAGCACACTTTTCCCCTACCGTATACTTATAATGACAATTAAAGCCATTCTTTTAAATATTTGTGACTCTTTCCTAAAGTCAAAGTTTCTGTTGAATTATGTATTGACACACCCCTAAGTACAAGGTGGTATGGTGGTGTGTACACATGCTACCTTCCTGGGGATTCAAAAAGACGTTTTTTATTTTGAATAGCAATTAGCGATATAGTCCTGTTTAAGCTACTCATGATTAAGGTAATAACATCTTGTACAATTTCCATATAGTCTATTCATTAAGTAATCTTTTTACAGTTACATCAGGCTTGAACCCATCCATTCAGAAAGCCCCAAATTATAGAAACAATACTGTTCTATACGAGTGACCGATTATGCTTCCTTTGGCCTTCATTCTTTATTCTGCGGTGAAGTTGAGGCTTATAAGTTAAAACAAAGGATCTAAACAGTTTATATACAGAACTCACAGTATCTATCTATGACTTTTTTATGACTTTTTTAAACCAAGATCTGTTAAAAAAAAAAAGAAATCTGTTTCAACAGATGACCGTGTATAATACCATGTGGTGAAAATGAATTCAGACTTATTAAATGATGAACTTGTTAAATCCTCTCAGTGTCTATCAGCACAATACACACAGGAAGACTGTTAATGGCATATTGAATAGATTTTCCCGAATAAATTGCTCTGGAAAT